GGGGGGGGGGGGAGAAGGTATCTTTTTAGATAGATACCTACCTTACCTTACTTTACCTTGTGTGGGGAAATGGAAAGGAAGAGGGGAAGGGGAAGGGGTAGGTAAGTAGATTAAGGGGTTCGTGAGGAGGTGTTAAGGATGAGAGGGAGGGTATAAGCGAGGGAGGGAAGTAAGGAAAGGAGGGGATGATATCTACCTCGCTTATTTTTTGGTTTTTTGGCTTTTGTTTTTGGGGGGGGGGGGAAGGGGGTTTGTGGTTGGAACTTGGTTGTAGGACGGAAATTACTTGTAGAAGAAGGGATTAGAGGGGAGAGAGGAGGAGGGATGGGATAGGATGGGATATAGTGTGAAGTATGAAGTGAGGGTTTTTTATGGGAAATATTAGGGAGGTAAGTGGATGATTGGATGATTGGATGATTGGATGGTTGGATGATTGGATGATTGGATGATTGGATGGTTGGATGGTTGGATGGTTGGATGATTGGATGATTGGATGGTTGGATGGTTGGATGGTTGGATGGTTGAATGGTTGAATGGTTGGATGGTTGGATGGTTCTGTGAATAAATAGTTGTTTGTTGTATGCTTGATTGGAGCTTGGAGCTTAGAGCTTAGATGTAAATATTAATTTATAAGACAAAGACGTAAAAGAAAAAGAAAAAGAAAAAGAAAAAGAAAAAGAAAAAGAAAAAGAAAGAGTAAAAGTTACCTGTTAACCTATTTACATACTATATCTACCTTGAGGAAATAGAGAGGAAATAGAGAGGAAGGGGGGAGAAGGAAGGGGGGGATATTCTAGGTTTAGATAGTTAGATAGTTAGGGAGTAAGTAAATATTTCCCCTACTATATTGTTTTAGATACGGATACGGATAGGGAATAGGAATAGGGATAATATATATAATACCTCGCTTATTTTTTGTTGAATTTTATATTTTTATATATCTAGATTAGTACGTTCTTAACCTATATACTTACTATTTATAGTACCATATACCCTATACCCTATACTCGTTATATATAGAAGAGAGAGAAGAAACATATTCTAATATATCGCCGGTTTTATCTCTCCCTGCTCTACTCTCTTTCCTTTCCCTACTTTCCTTTCCTCCTATATAAACAAACAAAAGAAAAAAACTATAACATATTTAATCCATACTTACTTACTTACCTAAAAACTATCTATCTATCCATCCATCCATCCATCCTACTTTAGATTAAGTAAAATCTTAATATTATTCTTAAGTTTATAAGACTTACCGTAGTAGATCTATATAGCTAAGTAGCGTTAAGAGTTTAGAGATGTATATAAATCTAGGGAGGAGTGTACGGATAAAAGGATTTAAAGTTCCTACTTACTTACTCTTGGGATTTTAGCTGGGGTTTTTTCATCGGGTATATATGAGTATACTCGGGAGTTGGATACTAAATACCTATAGATTAGAGGACGTCGATGTTATGTTAATACTTATATACCTAGTATATTAATTTAACCGTTTAGTATATCTTTCTCTCAGTTATAGTTTATTGACATGTGACATTTATTACCCTTCTCTCCGAGTAAAATGAAAGGAGATATGAAAGAACAAACTCAATAAGGAAGTCTAGGGCCAGTATGACGACAATTCAAATCGATTTCCTTGCATTCTCCATGAGAGGGATTGGGTATCTTTCCACTTTCAACTCATCAACCACCACATCATGTATCTCCATACCTTTCAACCTCAAAATCTCATCTTCATGTTTTTCACAACTCAGCACCACACAACCCATCCAAAACCTCCTCCCCCACACCCCCCCTCTCCAACACCCTCCCAATCATCTCCTTAATCAACCCCCTCTTCGCGCCCCCCCTCGGCGGACACCAAACTCCCTCTTCCCCATCCCCACCCCCATCCTCCAAGTTCTTCTGCGCCGTCCCCCCCGTCGCAGTATTCACCTTATTGGCTAACCCCTTATGCGTCAACCGACTCGGCGGATCAATAGTCCTCACAGCCAACAACCTCAAATTCCTCTTCTTGCCCCCCTCGACATCCATCTCCATCTCTGTATCCTGCGATGAAGAATTTGAGGTGGGAGATTCGGAGAGGGAGACGGCTAGAACGGCGTCGGCGACGGCGAGTTCTTCTTTTGAGGGATCGAAGATGATGGTTTCTTGCACGGCCATGACGAGGAGGGTTATGGGGGGATGGCTGGTGTGTGGGGGGTGATAGAGCGGTTCGCTGGCGTCCCAGTCGTCGGAGAAGAGGGGGTCTTCGTCTTTTTCGGAGAGGAGTTTTGGGAGGCGGGTGGTGAGGAGGGCGAGGTGGGTGGTTAGGGATAGGAGGGGGAGGGGGTAGGATAGTGGTGGGGAGAGGAGGAGAACCTGTTTGAAGAGATCAGTTTAAATCAAGAAGGATTTGGGGGGAAAATGGAAGGAGCAATACGAACATCTAGGTATAGACGCCAGTGAAAATGTCTATTAATCCACAACCTCTCCACAAACTCCCCATCCGCGAGTAGAGCCTCACTCAAAACCGCCGCCAGGAAAATCGGATTCGAATCATCGTCCCGCTCACCTGGGATATCAACACTAATCTCCACCCACTCATTTCTCCCCTTCTTCACCCCTTCTTCCCCTTCCCCTTCCCCATCGACATCTCGAGAAATCCCACTACTCCTCTCCACCTCCGCCTTCACACCCACCACCGCCTCCGTCCCATCCGCGAAACAAATCCTCGCACTCCCATTCGTACCAGGCAAGATATCGCTTTCCGCGATCAAAGGCCGGAATTGTGTTGCAGTCCGGCCGTCGGGACGGATTGGCGGGTTGGAAGAGAGGGATGTGTGGAGGTAGGAGAGCTCGGCGGGGGAGAGGAGGATTTGTTGGAGGGATTGGGGGGCCATGTTTGGGTGAGGGGATACCCAATTGGGTTGTTCTTTGGGGTAGTATGGGGAGTTAGGTCCTGGTGATGATGTTGGTGTGGTTTGAGGGTGTGGTTTGAGGGTGTGGTTTGAGGGTGTGGTTTGTGGGATTGGGGTATGAGTAGGATGGTGGAGGGGTTTAGTTTGTAGAGCTTGAGCTTGAGGATTTATTTTGCGCCAGATGGGAAGGGTGCAGGGATTAGGACGAGGCTGAGATGTCAGGGATTAACAAGGCTGACTTTTTATTCTCCCCCCTTGTAGTTTGTGCTACTCGTAATCTTACACTCCCAAAAAAAAAAAACATCCCAATTCCACGAGTAAAAACTCCAAACTATAAGTTATCTATAAAAACCTCATATCCAGAAATATAAAAATAAGTTAACTACTAATATTCTCTTTGTTAAATATATATCTACCTCCAAAAACCTTCTAAAAATAAGCGAACGAGTCTCTTATATAATGCGAATTTGGGATTTGTAGAGGGAATAAGGAAATGGGAGGTATATAGGAATAGGTCAGGTAGGATGAAATATTAGAGGATACTATTTATTCTCTGTTGTTATTATAAAGGGAGGAAGAAAATGTGTGAGGTAGATAGAGGAGAGTTGAATCGTGGATTACCATACCTACTACCCTTACTTACGTGGTGACGTCGATAGCTACAGACATACATACCCGAAATTCAAGAGATTTTCTCTCTTAGAAGATTATATGTGAAATACTTCTCACTATTTGTCGCTCAATGCTCATTATTGCACACATTCAATCTACTCTTTCCCTCATCGCTTTCGAAAATTCTTTGTTGCGAGATCCTCCTACTCATCCCTAGAAATCCGACTCTCTATCATACCCTCTAACCAAAAGCAATCACCATCTCCTTCGCAACCTTCGTTCCAACCGCAGAAACAAGTCCCGCAATGATCCCCTTGATAGATTGCGCGTTATCAATATCACTCCCATCCCAAGTCATCAAGTCACCGGTCTGTGCCTGCTGTCCGCGGACTTTTAATTTGATATGATCGAGGTCAACTTCCGTCAACAACTGTTCTCTGCTAAGAAGTCCCGGCATAGATCGTGAGAAGAGAGGTAGTTCTGGATTGGGGACAGGAGGATCTTCGTCGTCTGAGTTATCGGCGTCGTCTATTTGATCTTCGACGTTATCTTTTGGTGAAGGTTGTTGGGTATCTGGTCGGTCATCTTCTTGGTTATTGGCCATTTCTGAAAGACTCAGGTATTTCCTCTTGTCCAATTTGCTCCTCAAGTCATCATCCAATAGATCCCAGTTGTATGAAACCGGATCCAGCATATATTGGGGTGTATAATCGCCCTTGTACTTCATTTTCACACAGTTGTGAATATAAAAGCCAGCATACCACCATTTATACCCATCTTCTTTCGCCAAGGCAATTTCTCTTAAGGCGCCCAACTTCCCAAAGCCGAATTCGTGAACCGATTCATGATACATGAAGTAGACGGCACTAACACAACTTGGTAAAAGGTCGAGAACACCAACAGCTATCAGCTTCCCATCAATTCGGTAGCATTGATGGTAAGACCCCAGCTTGAGTTCACGCCCACCAACAATCACACTACTCCTCGGCAGAGGTGATGAACATAAGAAGTTCTTGAAACCCGTTTTACTGATTCGACTTGGTGGTTCCTTGTGAACGATACGTTGATAATTCTCAAACAGTGCATATTTCTCGGCTGTGAGACTGTCAGACTCAAGAGCAATCGTCAGAGCGTGGGCGGGATCAGGTGGAGTTCTCAGTAAGTCCTTCTCGCTCTCGTGGACGCGTTCTACCAAATTAAATTCAGTGTTGCGTTTTTTGGCTTGCTCGCGTGACAGAGGATACAACTTTGCGGCTTCTTTGATGTAAGAATCCCCAAGGATGTGCTTATTAAAGCGGTTCCATGTTTGCCGTTGGTCTTTGGAGGGTTGGAAGGATTCTGAATCAAGACGAATGGTATACTGGGGGCAACATGATGCTCGTTGGTCGGGTTTGTAGAGAAGTGTTCCTGATCGCCTCCACCCACGGTCGAGGAGATCTTGGTATAATGCAGGAGTCAACGAACTCGTGGATGCATAGTAAGAAAAACCTGTAAACAAAAAGTAAATAAAGTCCTGATTGGGTTAGGTGTAAAACTCCTTATGGACTAGCCTTAAGAAGAGAGAATAAAGAAGTAGACCGCGGGAAGCTTCCATCTTATGTGACTTGATGACAAAAGGTAGGAGAGGATTACGTTTTTGAGACCTACTTCCAGATTTATTATGACAATAACCGCAACTACTATTTTGATATCCTATAAACAGCGTTAGCAATTAAGATTCGTCAGCACCTTCCAACGGCTGAGCGCCATGCAAGCTGTGCTGTACAAATATCACTTTAGTGTGGGGTTGCAAGCAATGTTGACTTCACAACGGCTGGATGGTTGCGTAGGGCTTCCTGACTCGCACATAGAGGGTGGGATGAAATCGGTAGAAATGGGAGAAATTTTGATACATCTTGGGGTACGAGGCAGAATCATCTTGGTCACCCAGCCCTAAATCAACGTCGTCGAGCCATTTGAACACGGGTGAAAATCATTGGCGAGTAGGCCAAGGTAAATGAACCAAAAAGATCTGAGTTTTCTCAGGTACTGACTGACCTATGGGAGTAAGAAGCGAATCAGGGGTCGACATGGCGGGGTCACGAAAAGGCGAAAAGGGGGGCCGGTGAGAAGAGCGAGGAGTCGGGCGATTGCACCGCAGCGAAGTCTTTCAGAGCCTCTGACCGAATTCGCAGATGGGCCCTTGGCCTTAGCACAATCTGCACACCACAGCTGCAAGATGAAGATGTTCTCTGGGCTTGTTGAGTGTAACGATTGACGATTTCCGGCTGGTCGGACGAGGGCTTCTTGCCCCGGTCCCGGGATGGAAATAACGGGATTTAGAAATTATCGGCTTGGGTGGCTCCCGAATGGTGTACCAACTCACGATACCTAGCTGGCGTGGGTTGCCGGGCGAATCTGGTGAGTCCGTAAGAGGACTGGAGGAAGGGACGGTCGTGTTGCCAATGACGGATGGTATAGGTAGTGATGAGCCAGGTATTCTGTTGTGCTGCTAGCACCGTCGTGTGGTAGTGTCACCGCTACCGGTGGAGGCGGCCCAGTAGGTACTGTACCTTGGGACCAGCCGCAATGTGAATCCGTGATGAGTCTGATGAGGGTCCAAAGTGAGTAGAAGAAACACGGCAGCAGTCGAGGCTCTGGCTCTGGCTCTGGGTTTGCAATATGAGTACTCGTATGTCTGAGTATGAGTCTGAATCAGAGTGCTGCTTGTCAGACCGAGGTTATTTTACCTTCTTTAGGCACGAGAGGCGATAGGTTGACCCGAGAAAAGAGTCTTCCAGAGACCACAGGGCGGCGGATTAGCTATGAGAGCGTGGGAACATGCGAGAGCGTGGGAACATGCGAGAGCGTGGCATGGTAAACACGAACATGGGAATTCTGACCGCAATTCAAGACATTCATAGCAATGACGGCGATGGCTTTGGAGGTCACAGGTAGCTCTGTACTCGTCCGGAGCAAAGTCATGTACCTCCCACGCCGCAAGCTTCTGAAAGGGGTAATTTGCTGTCTAGCGAAGCTCCCCCCGCAAGCACCAGCTGCTAAACCGGAGCAGCAGTGTAACGGGTTTGACCTATAGTTAGCTGGACTACTCACACTTGCAGCATAGTGACATGAAGGACACAGCACAGGATGATAACACCCAATATCCAAAAGGGCTAGGGCTGCATCGGCCAACCTCTCTGCTCACGCTCCGAGAGTCGTCCCCATGGGAAGTTGCCTGATAGGGAAGAGACAACAACCCCCACCCCGGGACCCTGCTGTACCTTGTTACCAGACTGTTTTGATTCCGAGGCTCATTTGCTTTGATGAACACCTCGCTTCCTTGCAAAAGCTTGACAGAGAGATCAGCGTGCCAGCGCAGGCCTGTACATTACTTCCTACATGATTGTAGAAGTACTTCTTACATGAAGTAGGCGAGGATTGGCGAGGTACATGATGCTGCGATTGAAGAAAGCAGGAGACGGGGGCACGGGTGGATGTGGGTGTGTGTGAAGGTGGGAGATGAGCAAGAGACGATGAACACCATCAATCGCTCCTCAAGACTTTCTCAAGCCACGGCCCATGATATGACCCATCAGAGTAATGCATCGTGGGACTGAGACGGGGACGGGGACCTTCATGCCACTTTACCTCATCTGCTCTGCGCTGCTCAGCTCATCAAAAGGGTAGAAGGTAGCCTGCCCTGTCCTGCCCCCGCTGATTCTCTCTCACTCTCTGCCTCCTGTGTCAGTCATATGCTTGTTGCTCTCCCAGTCATTCACACTGCACTCGCAGCTCTTGGGTTTGCCACTACGAGTACGAGTACTACTATCAGCCTCTCCCTCGCTCTCACTACTCTGCTGCGAACCATCAAAGGAGACACAAGCGAAGCCCTACGCCTATGCCTATGCCTATGCCTATGCACCCAATCCTCGACCTTCGTTTCTAAAACAGTACCAAGACGGCCCTTTTCTCACCTGATTTTGGTTTCTCTGGCAGCCATTGCTGGTCTGCCGGTTCCTGTACCTCCAGGAAAAGTAGCGGCTTGCTGGACTCTGCTGGCTTCTACTCGCTCTGCCATCGTCGGCCCGCTACACAAATATTTGCATTGCTGCAACCTGCCTAGGTCATTGACCAGCTCGCCTACCAACCCTTCGGCGTCACAATTAACAAAGAGTGACTTTGGTGTGGATTGGCCTGGCCAATTTCCGTCGACTCAGACTACCACTACCACCAATACCTAACCCCAAGGTGCTAAGTCACCAAGTACTGGGACTGGACTGGGTACTAGGTACTTGTATAGGTACCCGTCCCCCGCTGAGCCTATCGCCCCTAAAAGCACCAGCACCAGCAAATCTCATTCACCTTCCAGCGGTTCCGGCGCGCCCCCACCAAAATTAATGACGGAGGTTTGAGCAATTCCCCCGCGACTACTTATTTTCGCGAGGCCCCTCCACCAACAAAGGCTCCTCCTCAAACTCGATTCATTGTGCAACGACCACCTCTGCACAAGGTGCACAGCTGCAGCCGCAGCACTCCTTCATCATGACGAGTCACTCCATGGAGTCGCGCGTGGGAAGAGCGAAGCAGCGTGAGTGATCCTTGGAACTGATCCTGGAAACGAGACGGCGATGGGAGATCAAAAAGACAGGCTACTTGCCGGCTCAAAGAGCACCGCTGACCCTTCCGCGCTTTTAGGCTATAACGAGACCGGAGAACGACTGGTTGCTGGAGTGGTTCCTCTCAATGCCTCGAAATCGCACGTCCTGTTAATTCAATCGACTCGACGATCAGGCTGGGTCCTTCCAAAAGGCGGATGGGAGTCGGATGAGACTTGCGAGGAGGCAGCCAAGCGCGAGGCCTGGGAAGAAGCTGGAATTTCGTGTGAAACTGTAAATGACCTGGGCAAAATCCCAGAAACCAGAACCCCAAAACAAATGTCCAAAGACGCTCCGAAGGCGCTCTACCAATTCTACGAAGTCAAGGTCACAGTCGAACACGCAGATTGGCCCGAGAAACACAAGAGGGATAGATCCTGGGCAACTTATACAGAAGCTCGTCAAGCCATGGTAGGACGACCTGAACTTTTAACAGCACTCGAACGCTCGTCCATTCAGCGGTAGTCTCGGGAGCCCGGCGTTCAGCCCCATCCACAAAGCAAAGCGATGCGCAGGTAGTCTCAACGATATATCACCAATTTCGAAAAACACAAGACCGACAGTGCAAGCCATTTGGATGAGAGTGGGATTCCGGGTTCCTCAAAAAGAAGAAAAAAAAAGAAAACGCGGTGACTTGGCCAGTCTTGGATTCTAGTTTCGTTGCAGGCATGCTTATGGGTTTCTGCCTGCACACATTGTTGCTTGTTCAACTGCATTAGAGACAATCAAGCCGATCTGCCGATATACTTCTGAATGAAATATTGGCTTCATTGTGGATTCGAAAAGTATCTCCACAAACCGGCAAAAGAATTATCCCCCCTTTAATAGCTGCATTTTCCCAGAAGCGATTAATTCTCCTACTGGCCATCGAAAAACACAGGTCATTTTTGCAAATTGTATCTGGGGACCCGGCGTTGTATGGAATTTCGGTTTACGCATATAAAGAAGCTTACATTGGATGAGAGTTTTCTTTTCTTTTTTTCCTTCTGTCTTCTTCTTATTCCTTGGGACCCAAAGAGAGAGACTTTGGTGTAAAACGTACTGTCTCGTCCCAATAATATTTTTTTCTTGATACTGGAATAGAGGGGTTATTGTCAGGGTATTGCAAAAGAAAGTAAATGACAGAATAACCCATATTGTAGATTCGCCTGCATGAATACCTAGCCTCGTACCTAGATGTGTGTTGGTGAATTACTGTTTTTTCTAATGTATAATTTCGATTGTAATTATTTGCATTTTACTTTTAGATTTAGATTTTCTCTTTTAGTAGATAGGTTAGATAGACATACATCACAATTAGAGATCTTACAGGTCATGTTTTTCCAAATCGGGTCTTAATATCTGTTGTGGTTCCGTTGTGTCCATCTACTTACGAAGATCTGGGCAAGCAGCCAACCTTCACGTGTCCCTATAAAAATCCAACGTCGTCATATTGCATTACTTCACAGAGCCTCAACCTTCCCACCCCATGTCCGAACCTACCTACCTACCCTACCACAAACTACAGCACATCCAGCAAAGACCAAACACCCTACGCCAACAAAAGGGTTCTACGTTTTCTACGAGACAGCTGGACACGAATAGGAATACGCAAACAAACGAAAAACCCACACGTAATGGATTGGCGCAGTTGATAGCGCAGCACAGCATAGTACAGTACCAGATCAGAATCCGAATCCGAATCAAGAATCTGAACAAGAACCGAACGGAACGAGAAAAGGCAAAGGAAAGGCAAAGAAAGAAAGGAAAGGAGGAAAGATGGAGAATCTCACTATCAACGATGTCGTCGCGGCCACCTCACCTTCTCAAACTGGAGGTGGTGCGCTGGGACAGTTGCAACAGCAGCAGCAGAGTCAGCAGTTACCTCCGCAGATGTTTACTACTGCGGCGCAGTTGTTGGATATGACGGATAGTAAGATACTCCCTTGGGTTTCCTTTTTTGGTCTTTGGTTTGTTTTGGTGCGGTTTGTTTGTGGAGGGCGATGTTGGGTGAGGGGTGAGGGGTTGTTTGGCTTGGTTTGGTTGTTTGCTTTTGAGGGGTCCATTCATGTAGGGAGAAAGAATGATAGAAAGAGAGATGGTAGAGAGAGGGAGATTATGATTCTTTGCTAACACCCTTTTTTCTTCTCAATTATAGAAAAACTCATGGTCGCCCTCCGCGATGGGAGGAAACTAATAGGTGTCCTACGAAGCTGGGATCAATTTGGTATCTATCCCCCTCTCCCCTCCATTCCCCCCTCTCTAACCCACCAACTAACCACCCCCCCAGCAAACCTCGTCCTCCAATCCACCATCGAACGCATCTTCGTGCCCCCCTCGCCCACATCCCCGGGTCTCTACGCCGACGTCCCACGCGGCATCTTCCTCGTCCGCGGCGAGAACGTGCTCCTGCTGGGGGAAATCGACCTCGATAAGGACGACGATGCGCCGCCGGGGTACGAGCGTGCTGAGGTGGAGGTGGTGCATCGGCTGCAGCGGGAGCGGAAGGGGAGGGAGAGTAGGAGGGAGAAAGTTGTTAAACGGAAATTGGGGGAGTTGGGGTTTGAGGGGGAGAATATGGGGGAGGCTTTGATTTGATTCTTACCTTTTTTTTTCTTTTTTGTGAGAGGGGGGTGGGGGTTGGCCTTGCGTTTTGAGTGGGTTTTGAGAGTTTGAGGGGTGGGGATTGGTGGTATGTGAGAGGGGGTGGTAAAATGGATTATGGGGTTTACAAAAGATGTCAGGGGTGTTGCGATGCGATGGATGGCAATGGGGAAAACGGGTTCAGAAGGGTACTTGATGCAGAATATTGTGAAATGCTTATAAGTACCCAGGTGGAAGATGCGAAAGGGGGGTGGAATGAAATGAAAAGAAACCAGGCTAGAGCGGGCTAGGCTTTTAAAAGCTGCTAGCTAGCTAGTTACGTACATTTTTTCTTGGTTTGCGTTGTTACTCTTTATCAGATATGCTACTGGACCGTAGTTCAAGGGAAGGGAAGAAAGAGATGATGAGTGGTTATGAAGAGTACTTTCTTTCTTGCTGTGAAGTGAGGTGAGGTGAGGTGAAATTTCCACGTGGGGAAAGTGTATTTACTCAATTTTGGTGCTTGTTAAGAAGTGTTGGATTGATTTATTCCTTTATTTGATTGACAATTTGACATTTGAGGGTGTTATAGTATGTTAATTACTGATATGTTTATATCTCATTACTGTAATACATAAAAAAGTACTCCTACCTAGCCTATAGTAATAAACAGGTTATAGCCTTATAGGAAAGTTTGCAAATGTTGGTTTCAACATTTTTGGCATTTGAAATTCTATATGGAATTACCTATACATTATTATGAAATTTCATTCAAGGGTTCCCGTTTTTTACGAAGTGTCTTTATGAAGTTGAAGAGATATTGGAATTTTATGGATGTTGGAATTTTTTGCTGAGGTAGGTAATAGGTAAGGAATAGTTGATTGAGGGTCTTGGAATGCAGAAGTGAGAATTTGGGATTTGGGATTTGGAGTTTGGGATTGGAGGGATGTAGGTATGGAGGAATAGGAAGAGGGGAAGTAGATTGAGTTTTTGATATTGGTGGGATTTTGAGGGGAATGGAAAGGGAGAGGGAGGTGGTCGGTGAATTTTGTGAGGGATTAGGGAGATGGCAAATTGGGTGGGTAGGTGAAAGATTGGTTAGTTGGTTGGTTGGTTGGTTGGTTGGTTGGTTGGTTGGTTAGTTAGTTATATATTATTAGCTAGGTGCCTTGTTACAGGTACAGGTATAGGTATAGGTATAGGTATAGGTATAGGTATAGGTATAGGTATAGATAGGTATAGGTACTGTATAATGTGAGTGATATGTAGCTGCGTAGGTAACTAGGTAACTAGTTATAATACCTATTACTTTCGCAGCGTCCAACGATTATACATATTATTTAGGATGGGATATGTTTTGCTGCTACAGGGAAGGAAGGGGTCTTGTAATGAAATGGAATCCTCAAATCTCGAATATCATTTAAGTTAGTTGGTTAGTTAGTCAATAAAATATCTTTCCATTCCCTTTTTTTTATATCGATTTTCTGTTTTCTACTGTATATATCCTCCCCCCCCTCCTCACCCCTCCTCCACCCANCATTTAAGTTAGTTGGTTAGTTAGTCAATAAAATATCTTTCCATTCCCTTTTTTTTATATCGATTTTCTGTTTTCTACTGTATATATCCTCCCCCCCCTCCTCACCCCTCCTCCACCCACCGAATCAAACGCAGGTGTCCAAGCACCCTCAATCCCCTTCCCTATGACGAAAGAAATCCAGACAAAAAGAGGGGATGACGATAGGAAAATGCGGCAGCCATGTGCCGCTTGTGGGGGGTGTATTATATATCCCAGCATCCAGAGTCCAATATCCAGAGTCCAAGAAGATCCAAAGAACGAAATCCAAATCCAGACTAGACCAGAAAAAAGTACCAGAAGCCACCTCCAAAGGAAGAAAATGCCAAACCCCAAAAGAAACAAACCCCAGATCAGACCAGATCAAACCTGATGGATAAATCAGATACCACGCAGGTAAGTGCCCAACAGAGAAAAATACAGGAATAGGATATAGCAATCTTCTTCCTTCTCTCCTCTCCCTTCTCTGTCTCTGGCTCCAAATTCTTCTTGGGGGATGAGGTGAAGCAAACGAAGCCAAGGGACAAAATAATGATTTGGATGTGTCTTGTATTCGTCATCTTCGTGGAAGGCTCGCGTCGGTGTCGTTATCTGTTGTCTGTGGTTGGGAATGTTTTATGGCGTTTGGTTCGTTGGTATCGTTTCGTCTGGGTATTGTGAGGTGTATAGATGATTTTGGTTGTTTGTTTCTTGTTGTTGGGTTGTTGGGTTTTTTTGTTTGTTGAGATCCTGAGATCCTGAGATCCTGGGATCTGGACGTTGATGTATGTGTGTATGTATGTGTCTCTTGCGAGTCCTTCTCTTCTATCTCCCCCCCCTCTCTCTCTCTGTCAATCCAGTCGTTCCCAATGATCTTAGGAGTGATAGACGTCCCCCCTTCCAAAGTAATTATATTACATAAGTTGATAAATACCAAATGCCAAATCCAGGAGAAGAGAAGTAGCAAAAGAACCAAGGAAAAGTAAAAGTAAAAGTAAGGAAATAGAAATCGCAAAGAATAATGAAAATTGGAGATTGAAAAGGAAAAGAAAAAGAAAAAGAAAAAGAAAAAGAAAGGTAGTGACTGCTGTCGTGAGTAAGTAACGCAGTTCAAGAAATGAAAAAAAGATGAAAAAGGAACGCTGAAATCCAGAAAGAAGAAAAACTAAAAGGAAAAGAAATCAAAAAACACTCCATATAGAATTACCTCCCACCTCAACCTCCTACGTCCACCCCTAAACAACAGCAGTACTAGGCTCCCCCTCCTCCTCACCCCCCTCCGCCGCCTCCTCCACCTCTCCCTCTCC